CTGCCGCCCCCCCCCCCGCCCGGACACCAGATCTGGCTCGTTAACACGTCTGGAATGAGCGCCAGCCCACCTCGGGCCCGGGCTGGCATTCCCAGGTTGGAAGATTATCTCATTCACGGGGGGATATAAGCGGGGCCGGGGCGGGGGGTCCCGCAGAGCAGCCTCAGCCCTTGGGGAACGCAGCCCCCAGCGCAGCAAACATGATGACGATGAACGTGGAGGAGCTGGTAGGTACAACCTTCCTTCATTTACTCCTAACCCCTCTTCTTCCTCCACTGTCCTCCCGGAGACAACATTGTGGATGAAGGCGAGCGGCACCACTGTGCCCTGGCTGCAACCCCCCCAGGTTCTGCTCCACACTCCGATGTTCCTCAGGAGGGGGGCTCACCACGGACACAGCTACAGAGCTGTTGGGATCGTGCACCAGAAGCCAGATCACCAGGAAGAAGAAACCCACCCAAACTTACCTTGTTATCTTTCCTTTGACCTTGATCCTGATTTTGATTCTTTTTAGCAGCTATGAAGTTAATGATCCCCCTCAGTAATTCCAGTGCTGTAAGGGGCTGGGAGGAGGTGTCAATGCACAGAATCCAAACTGTTTTCCAAACCTAAACTAACAGTTTAATAATAATAAGTATTGTTTTCTAATAATAAACTAACAGCTCCCACACCCGCTGCTGTCGATGGCAAAACCAGTCTCTGAAAACTAACATCTAAACTAGACCCCAAGTGACAGGACATCCCACGGCAGAGATCGGGCTAAGAATGCCTGATTTGATCCATAAACTGGGAAAACAGGAAACTGGGATCCAGTAAAACACTGGAGCATCATATAAAACCCCATTTTTCCCCACGAGGGCCAGGTTAAGATGCCACTGCCATAAAACCTGACTAGTTAATGCTGTCTTAAATTCCCTGGCAAGGCCCTGGCAGCTCCTCCAGTGTTAAATCCTCTAACGAGGACAATTTTACAAGGTGACTGAGCGGAAAGGCAGCCCGGGACACACGAATTTACAGAACCCCTCTCAAAATACACAACAGCCTCTACTAACTTTAACGAGTTACGTCTTTGTAGGCACTTAGTGGAGCAGCAGAAGTATTTCCAGCAGCAGAAGTATTTCCAGCAGCTCCCAGGAGCCGTGCTGCTGCACAGCATCCCAGAGCCCCCGCGCAGGAACCACCTCCTGCTGCTGTCCTGAGGGCTACAAACGGGGTAAAACCAGCCTCAGGATTACTCAGCAGCCTCATTTTATCTGCACGGGATGCATTTTGATAAAACTGTAACGTCCCGAGGGAGAAGAAGCCTCTCCTCCCACTGTTCCTGCTCAGTTCCTCTGCTCAACGCTGGCGCGGTGCTCGGGGTGGTTCCTTCACAGCCTCCCAAAGGCTCCCACACGGGCTGGTGGGTGAGGAAACAGGGAAACCCCCAGCAAAAAGAGATGCTCTTCCCAAGAAATCAGCTTTTGTCAGCACAGCAGCCTCTCAGCCCTGGCCCAGCAGGGATTCGGACCATGGGGTGGCCTCATGGATCTTGACCCGCGCCCTGGAGATGCCGAGGTGGGGGCTGCGGGAGATCTGCCTGCGAGAGAGCGCTCCAGCCATTAATTAGTTAATTTGGGCAGGGGCTGCAGGAGGTCAGCACTCTGTCCCTCACAGGAATGACATGTAATTAGCTCCAGGCAGGCTTTGTTCCCAGGGGGTGGCAACTGCAGCCAAGGAACCTAACGTTCTCATACTGGATCCCGTTTGCTTTTACAGGTGACCGGGAAGAAAGGCGATGATAAAGAGATGGGCAGCTTCCTCCCCGAGGACTTCAAAAATGGAGAGTATGAAGCTGCTGTGAAATTAGAGAAGCAGGAGGACCTAAAGACAGTCTCTGAGCACTCCCTGAGCCGAGGAGATCTGGCTTATGAGAAGGAGAAGAAACTCGAAGCAGAGGTAGGCTCTTGGGGTTTGTGCTTGGCTTTTTATCGCCCCATGTGCATGTTCTGCTCCAGCCCTTGGGGTTCTGCCTCTTTCCAAGCGAGAAATACGTGCGTGGTGAGCCAGGAAACCCTTGGGAGATAACACCAATAGTCTAAATTCCATTGAAGGCCATGGCAGCCTGCTGACTCCCGTAGCCTATGGATGGGGGCAGTGACCCCCTCTTATCCCCTGATAACATCTGGGGCTCCCTCCTGCCCAGAGCCCCCCGTGCTGGCTCGCAGTGAGGGGGGAGCAAGCGTAGCCGGTATGACACCTCCAGCTTCCACACTTAATGACTGCCACCAAAAATAGCCAACCCAAGGAAGATGCAAGAGTGCATTTCTGAAGCCTTACCTACCACGAAAATGTTCTTTTTATGAGAACACTGCACTAAGCTTACTAGCACACTTGGGAGAAACAATTACAAATGAAAGTGATGCCTGTCTACAGAAAAGTACCATTTTGCGTTCCTGGAGCATGCCCGTGCTCCCTGTATCCCTAAGAACCGATGGGTTTTCCCCACCAAAATACAGTAGCTGTAATGTTTTAAATTCTTTGGTGAATAAGCAACCAGCTGGCCTAAAAATTTAAAGTGATTTGAGAATGAAAGAGTTTAATTAGCTGGGGGCATAAGACTTTGTTCTGAAAAAAAGGGTGGGAAGGTGAGCCTCAGGAACATTGAAACAAATGCTTCTGACCTTCACCTTCAAGGGAGAGATCATTACTTACTGCAGAGGCTTTTTGAGTTCCTCCAAAACAGGGTCCTAAGAGCCTTTTGGGTTTGTAGTTGATCCCCAGCCCACTCAGCCAACATCATTATTTTCCATTAAGTCAATGATCTACAGCTCAAACCCTGATGGGGATGTTCCTTGTAGTTCCCCAAGATCTAACACTTGCTGACTGACACGCCAGGATTGGTATAAACCTGGCTCTTCACTTAAGGGTCTGTTTTTCATCAAAGAGAATTAATTTACAATAAATCAGGGGCTGCATCGTAAAAGCGGTTGAAGAGAAAACACTTGCTGGAAGTCAGCTACAGCTGACGACATGGAGGATGTGGAATTTCTCACACGCTTAGTAACTGACTCTGATGGCCAATTAGCCCCAGCTGTAATCAAAAAGAAAGCTTATTTCAAAGTTCATCCATTCTGAATGGAATTCAGCTGAGTATTAGCACACCTGTGACTCAGGCAGCTCACACTCAGCTCAAGGTGTGGGCTCCCTTGATCTGTTTCAGCTGAAGAAGAAGAAATTAGAACAGAGATCAAAACTCGAAAACTTGGAGGATCTTGAGAAGATTATTCAGTTGAAGAAGCAGAAAAAATGCAAGAAAGTGAAAGCGCCCGTTGTAAAGGAACCTGAACCAGAAGTTATTGTAAGTGATTTCAAAGCACCTTCTCCTGGGGAGCAGGGCTGGGGGTTTGTGCCACACATTCACACCCTGAGTTTCTCTCCCTCAGACGGGACCAGTGGACGTGCCCACCTTCTTCCGAGCTGCGCTGGAGAACAAGCTGCCAGTAATTGAAAAATACCTGTCAGACAAAGGGGATCCCAACGTCTGCGATAAGGTACAGCCTCCCTTCTTCCTGCAAAGCCTGCTACAGAAGGCAAAAATTAACTTTTACTGCTAGGTTTTGTAGCTTCTATACATTGGGGGGTGGGCAGCAGAAGTGTGGGGGAAGGAAGTAAACATAGGTTTTGTAGCTTCTATACATTGGGGGGGTGGGCAGGGGAAGTGTGGGGGAAGGAAGTAAACGCTGGGAATTTGGTACATTAAGTTTTCTAGTGATAAAGGGGCCACTGCCACCCTTCAAAGTATTATTACAAGAGGATCTTTACATTTGAAAGAAGGCTGTTGGTGCCCAGGAGACCCTGATTTTCTGTAACAGGGGGTCTTCCAAGAAGGCTGTCAGCCCCTCATGCTCTCCAAGGCGTGAGCAGTGTTACCTTGGCTGGGGAACTCGACAGGAGCCCTGTGAAATCCCAAAGCCCCACCACAGATATTTCTTTGAAACGCTGGGGAGGCACCTCTTGGCTCTCAGGATGCTGTTAAAATTTAGCAGATTTCAGGTCTCCAAAGTATTAGCTCAGCAGAAAGTCGGCATTTGCCAACATCCTGGGGAGGCGGGAGAAAAGATTTGGTTATCTCTCTTTGTGCTGTATCTAATACCCAACTTTGGGCTGTTTGAACGGCAGTACAAGCGCACCGCCCTGCACAGGGCATGCTCTGAAGGACATCTAGAGGTGGTGAAAAAACTGGTGGAAGCTGGAGCCCGGCTGGAACAGAAAGACATGGTATGTACCTCAGCTCATGCTCCCTCCGAAAAACCCCTCCTGGTTTCACAGGAGCCCAGAGCAGCAGTTACAGGAGCGCTCCTTGAGGAAGAGGAGTGTTCAGAACGCAAAAGGCATTAAAAAAAATAAATTAACTGGCAAACACCAGCCACATACCTGGCTAAAGAGAACATCTAACTTCACAGAATAGACAAAACGCATCCTCCCCCAGCAGCCCTGCCAACATCTCTGGCTGGGAGAGCAACGTGTGAGGAGTGAGAGACTCCCAGTGCTAAGGAAATTAGGGCAAAGTAAGAAAAGCTGTTACTAGAACAACCCGGTGATCACAATAAAGTGCTTCGGCTTAAATGGAGAGAAAAGGAGTCTGAATTAATTTAGAAATTTGCTCCAAATAGTTTAATATTATTTTTTTAAAAACATAATAACGAATTAAACCCCTACCCTTTGTTTTTCCTGCTGCAGCTGGAATCCACAGCCCTGCACTGGGCCTGCCGGGGGGGCAACCTGGACGTTCTGAAGTTCTTACTGGACAAGGGGATAAACAGAAACGCCAGAGACAAGGTACGTGCTCCTGGGGCTCCGCAGCTTCTTCAAACTCCAGAGGAAAAGCTGACCTCTATCCCAGGTAGATAATTTTTGGTGGCTGTTGAAGCGTTCCGTGCCACTGACATCTTCCTCCTCCTCCCCCAACCCCCTTAGCTGCTGAGCACCCCCCTGCACGTGGCGGTGCGGACGGGGCAGCACGACTGCGGGGAGCACCTCATCGCCTGCGAGGCGGATCTCAACGCCAGGGACAGGGTAAGGACCAACAGCTTCTCACCTCCCCATTGAGCCCCTGCCCTTCCTTGGCCATAAAACCCCCCCCGGTGACACGGCTGGGGCCGGATCGGGGCAGGGCTGAGGCCGTGTGTCTGTCCTGCAGGAAGGAGACACGCCGATGCACGACGCCGTGCGGCTCAACCGCTACAAGATGGTCCGGCTCCTGATCCTGCATGGAGCAGATCTGACTATAAAGAACTGCGTAAGTAATCCCAACAAAAATAAAAAAACCCCAAACCCCCATAATTCAAACTGCTTCAGAGCAAGCTTGCCTTCCCTTGCCCAGGGAGGGGGTGGAGTCCCCGTCCCTGGCTGTGTTGAAGGGCCGTTTAGGCGGCTCAACCGCTACAAGATGGTCCGGCTCCTGATCCTGCACGGAGCAGATCTGACTATAAAGAACTGTGTAAGTAATCCCAACAAAAAAAAAAAACCCCAAAACCGCCATCATTCAAACTGCTTCAGAGCAAGTTTGCCTTCCCTTGCCCAGGGAGGTGGTGGAGTCCCCATCCCTGGCTGTGTTTAAGGGCCGTTTAGATGCAGTGCTGAGGGACATGGTGTAGGGGAGGACTTTGTAGAGTAGGGGAGATGGTTGGACTCGATGATCCCAAGGGTCTCTTCCAACCTAGATGATTCTATGATTCAAGGCTGGGAGAGACAGATTTAATTAGATCTTTTCCGAGTTAATTAAAGCAAAGCTAACAATCATAGAATCTCCCAGGTTGGAAGGGACCTTTGAGATCATCCAGTGCAACCATCAACCCAGCACTAACAAACCCCACCACTAAGCTCAGAGGGAAAGTATACCTTGGGGGAGGTCAGGGAGAAGAGGAAAAACCAGAACTTCTTCTAAAAACAGAAGCCACCACAGAAGGTGCAGCCCCAAAGGCCAAAGAGCTGCTCCCTCAGGCTTTGTCCCCACACAAAAGCTGCTCCTGTTGAATTCAGTGGTGGTTCATAACCTCTTCGAACCAGCACAAACTCTAAGCTGAGTTCTCAGTTAAACAGAAGAGTGGCTTACTGAGGTTTCCTCTAAATGTATTTCTAATCACTTTAAATGAAATCACAAGAAACACCTGCTCTGCCCCCCATGGTATTTGCTAACACAGCTTAGACCTACCGAAAGCCAAGGAGATCTCACCCTGGGTCTGACCAGGGCTGGGACCAGACCTGCAGAGTGAGAGGACCCCGACCCCGTGAGCACAGCAGGGTCTCCCCTCAGGCAGAGGAGGGAAGGATGAAGCACTCCATTCACTGGCCGAAATTAAATCTTGCTTCCTCTGCTGTTTTTTCCACCAGCAAGGGAAAACCCCCATGGACCTTGTTCTTCACTGGCAGAAGGGCACCAAGGAGATATTCAACAGCCTGAAAGACAACTCCTACAAGAGCATCCAGCTAGGCAAGCTCTGAAGAGAGAAACCAAACTGCCCTCTTTTTTGCTGCTTTTAAAATGCTTCTTATGAACCTGGAGGAAAATAGCCCTGAATGTAGTATATTTATTGAAAAATATTTCGGGTACTGGATGATCTGAAGTACCTGCACTGAAAATGGCAAAACAAACGTGCAGATAAGTTATTTTTTAAAGGCAGGCTGAGTGTCAAAATTCCACTGCTTTTCAAACGGCTTTATTTATTACTATTTATTATTTATTTATTTAAAAGGTCATTTTAAATTATTTTCAATATCATTGTAGCTTTTTTAAAGCGAGGATTACATCCTAATGCAATCTTTGCCAACAACGTAAATCCTTTGGCCTTAGACAGCAGCATTTCCAGCCACACTGGCACCTTCCCCCAGCCCTACGTGCCTTTGTCTCTGCCAAATTCTCACTACTGAAATAATACGTTAGAGGAGTGGTGACAGACAGGGGGAAGAGCAGCAGGAGGAGGTGCCCCGAGGGTTTAGAGAAGCAGTTGAACGAAGGGGTTTGGCAATAATGATCAATAAAGAGCTGGAGGGGGGAGCCCCAACCTCCACGGAACCGGGATTCGGATGCAACGATGAGGAAGGTGAGAGGAGAGGGTATCAGGAATGGGAACTTATTTTAAGCCAGACTACTGTGATGTCAGTGCGACTGAAGAATGAAAAAAACCAGATTATGTATATTTGTAAATTTGTACTGCCTTTTCTGTACATTTTGTACTGATCTATTTCAGATTAAATAAAACAGAGTGGTTCTTTTTATTTGCTGGAGTGGATTACGGAGCGGTGAGCACGCACGGCATAATTCTGGCTCTCTTGAAGGAAAGTTCACATCTTGGCCCCTGTGAAATTTTTAACAACTTAAAAAAAAAGCCAGAGCAGCCAGCCCTTGAGCTACCTCCCTGCTGCCGTTAGATAGATGCCATCTCTTACCATTTTGTTAAATGCAAACATGTACACAAGAGCAGAACAACAGCACCTGAGTAACTAGTAAATCAAAGCTACAGTTTTATTGCTGAGATTGCTGTAAAATCTCCGTTTCTCAGCAAGTCAGTACTCACTAGGTGAGCCCAGGAGACAGGTCAGTCACCCAAGCCGAGGGAGATGCCGAGTCCTGCTGGGAAAGGCAGTGCCTCCCCCTGGGCTTTAAGCAGGAGCAATCTCCGCAGAGCCACCAGCAGAGCCACCAGCAGAGCCACCAGCAGAGCCACCAGCAGAGCCACCAGCAGAGCCACCAGCAGAGCCACCAGAGGTCCCATGGCATGGGCACATCCCAGGCTGCATTCAGTTAAAATCCCAGCACCCGGAGTGTGGTCTCCCAACAAAGCACATCACAGGCTCCCACACATGTATGCACTCCAGTGCACATACATATATTTTACATCCCCATACCTATAAAAAAAAAAGAGACTTAAATCATAGAGTCAACAAGTAGAACAAAAACATAAAGGAAAAAATATTTCATTGTGTTGAAAGAAGCCAAAACTGTTGTGACTCCCACCAGCATTATATAGAAGTGGGAGTCTGCCAAGAACTTCACCCATCCTGCTCAGTCCAGTTACCAAGAGCTCAGAGATGACCCACTGCAAGATTTCTGCAAGATCATAGGTGCTATAACTTCACTTCTCAGCTTGTTGTCTGTGCAAACGGAGAACGGGAATACTCACAGTAAAGCTGCCTCAAGAGCATCTTGAGTACAGTAGCTCGCATAATTTTTATATTGGTTTAATCAAAAGAAAAACTTCAGTCAACGTTTGGAAGAGCTCTGAAAACCCTCTGCTGACACTAAACCTGTGTTGATTGGTTTTCTGGCAGCCAGATGAGGTTTGCTGAGGCATTAACAGGCAGGAGGCAGCAAGAGGAACACTGACAGGCACCACCACCAGCCCAGCCCATAAAGAAGGAAATGATGCAGTAAAACCTGTGTGACCCAGAGACCACCCTGGGCAGGGCCATCCAGCCCTTACGCTGCCACTCCTCCCAGCCCACCCCAGGGAAACCTCCCCTCCTGGCTCGTGGCTGGAAGCTGGAGTAGATGTGCTTAAATCTATTGAGAAACTGTAAGAACTAGACTTTGCATTCTTAGAAATATTTTTAATAAAAAAAGGAATGCACTTGTACAACTGAGAGTTTCTGTACGTGATAAACGTTGCGTGGAGTTTGCACTAACTCCAGAAGACCTAAGACAGGGTGAGAGACAGGCTCCTGACCTTGCCCAGAAGTCCAGCATGAGCTCTCATACATGGCGAGCTACGTTCAGCAGACTCATTCCCACAGCCTTCCTTATTTGAGCACCAGAAGAACCACTCTCCTGCAGGCTACATAAGGCAGGAAGGGAGGAACTGGGCTGGCTGGAGGACTGGGGAAGACTCAACACTGGGTAGAGATGGGCTGGAGGCTCCTCTTGACAATGGGTCCAGTTCTCAAGCTTGAGTCTTAGCTTTTTTGCAGGCTGGCAGTGGTGTCTCTTCCTCCTCCACCTTGCGAGGCTTCTTCACTGTGTACACTACCCCACAGGCACTCTTCCGAGTTTCTGGAATACAGAAACAGAAGCTGTAGCACCTCAAAGAAAATGATGCTGATGCATTTAACGCATGCTCATTTCAGGTGTCCGTGCCCCAAAGCACAGTTCAACACATTTCACAGGTGGCCAGTCAGCAGGTAAAGCACCTGCAGGGCTGGGACCTGTGGATACGCTGCCTCATGGAGCGGAGACACTAACGGGAGAAATCTGATGGGAGGTGCAGAATTACAGGAAGCATAAGGGAAAACTGAGTTCTGCAGGGACTGAGGGGCTGCAGACACAAAGCCATGGGAAACCAGGCTTCATCAGTGCTGTAGGCACAGGGTTCTGCAGGGACTGAGGGGCTGCAGACACACAAAACCATTGGAAACCAGGCTTCGTCAGTGCTGCAGGCACAAAAGGACACATTCTTGAAGCATTGTCAAAAGCATTTTTGGATTTCTGATTACTGTTCTTGAAAAAAATATTAAAAATGTATTCACACACCCCAGAACTCTTAAACAGGCTGTGCTGGCACAGCTATATGGGCAGAGCCTGCCCTACACACACCAAGTAACTGGCTTTCAGCAGTCGAGAATAGTTTATTTACAGAACCCTCGGCATAAAATAGCACTGTGTGATGTCATCAAACTCCTCATGTTTTTGCCAAACAACCTAGTGAGCCCAAATCCATTTCAGAACTACTGCTGGGAGGTTCCTTTGCACAATTTGAGGTAGAAGAGATCCTCCACATCTACTCCATTAGCAAAGAGACTCGGCAAGAGTCCTTCTTCATGCACTGGACAAAGGAGCTACAACAGAGTAAGCTGACTTACTCTATTTTGGAAAACATGCATTAATATGAGTTTAGCTTAACAAATGCAAGTGTTACTTGGATGTGTTTGCCTGCTCTGTCCACTCACCTCCATGAAGAATGGTGGCTCTGCAGTTGGTGGACACGGCAGCCTTGGCTTCGCTCTCCGACAGGCCGAAGAGCAAACCTCTGTCACCTTTGCTCAGGATCCAAACACCCAGAAAGGAAGGGACAGAATAGCACAGCCTGTCTGCAGGATAGGTTTGCTTACTCTACAAATAACTGGGAATTAGCAACGCTGTAACTCAAAGTGACATTCTGCATAAGGTTACCCAGAGGCAGGGGACTGTGGCACCCAGTTCTGGCTGCAGCCCTCCTGGAAAGCTGCTGGCAACCTTGCTTTCTTCCACACAAGAAGCTGTACTTTTCAAAAATAAAAATCTCTCAACACAGGAACGTTTTTATCTGCATAAAGAAGTGACCCCAATCAAAAATGTCGGTTTTGGGGAAAAGGGCACTGTGTGACAAAAGCTTTATGCTGAGAAGTTCCCAGTCACCTCAAGCGAGGACAACACCAGATGAGCCATGTTAATTTGGGTTGAGCCCGACTGCCCTTTTGAAGAAGGAAGGAAATGTTGAACAGAAAATCCTTGTGGGCCACACACCCTCCCACACGGTTCTCATGACTCAGAGCACACTCCTCCCCTGGAGGGACAGTCCCAATACCTGCTTGTGGGGCAGGGAGGGGTGAGCAGTAAAAGTGCATCTCAATTTCTAGAAGATGAGGAGAAAAGACACCCTCCTTGGTTTCTCAAGCACAATCACTTATTTGTAACTGAGGACCAGAAAATTCAGAGCAAAAGTAACCAGCACTCAAATAGGAAGTTCTTCTTTCTTAATCTTTTGAAGAAGGAAGGAAATGTTGAGCAGAAAATCCTTGTGGGCCACACACCCTCCCACACGGTTCTCATGACTCAGAGCACACTCCTCCCCTGGAGGGACAGTCCCAATACCTGCTTGTGGGGCAGGGAGGGGTGAGCAGTAAAAGTGCATCTCAATTTCTAGAAGAAGAGGAGAAAAGACACCCTCCTTGGTTTCTCAAGCACAACCACTTATTTGTAACTGAGGACCAGAAAATTCAGAGCAAAAGTAACCAGCACTCAAATAGGAAGTTCTTTCTTAACACAAATATGATTTTATAGCTTCTTCTATCAAAGGTGTGGCACCGTGGAGATCATAAGTAATAGTTTCTGGTTTGGTTCACAGTGTCCATAGGTTTTTATGGCTTTTATTAATTTCTCCACTCACACAGCATCAATACCTATCCCAACAAACCATACCTGCAGCTAAACACAGACGTTACTATTTACAGTGAGTGCTCGAGCCACCCCGTGACCAAGATCTGTTGCTCCTTCACATCCACTCAGGGCCCTGACTCATTGATCAGCAGCCAGCACCACTCTGTAATGCTCAAGGGCTATAAAGGTTGGAAATATTTCAAAACCACTTTGAAAAAGGATACAGATTAGCCACATCGTAAGGCCCTCGGAGTTCTAGAGGCTAAAACAAAACACAGAAGGTTGGAGATGTGCACGCACCCTCTCGCAGGCTGACAGAGGGTGAGCAGGCAGGAAGGCAAGATGAAGTGCTACATAACAGCAAACTGCTGAAGAGGCACTAAGAAATCAAGCAAGTACTACTGTTTTGGAAAACAGAGTCCTCATCCGTGAGAAAACTGTCATGGAAAATACCACAGCAGCGGCAAAAAAAATAAATGCCACCCACCCAACCGAAAAAACACCAACCTAAACCCCACAACACAATTCTTTGGAAAAATGGATTGATTAAAAAAACCCACAAGATGGTAATTATATTTAAAATTACAATTTTTATATGTTGAATATATAATTACAGATGTATTTTTAGCCACAGATAAATCCTCGAGTTGTTCTGACTTCAACAAAAATCTGGGACTTACCCTTTCAGCTGCACTAGATATAACAATGTTCTGGAAAACAAAAGAGAACAAACGTTCATCTGTCAGAGAGCATAAATAAATAAATAAATAAATAATCAGCAAGCAGCAAAGACTTTATGAACATTAGCTAAGTGCAGGCTCACAGCCCAATCAACCATCAGAGTATCTGATGCCCTCAGATGAAGTGAACTCTAGCAGGCTGTGGATCTTAATTTGGGGACACGGATAAACCCAGGTTATGTCCCTGTCCCTGACAGAGAGAGGGGCAGAGGTTCAAGCCCTCCCTTGCAGTCTCACACCTCTGACAGATGTAAGCTGAATAAGTGCTGCACCTTTAGAGGAACAGGCTGAGCAGTATAAATGTCAGAGTGATGGCATTAAGCTGGCACCCATCAGCCTGCTTCTCTCAGAGCAGAGTTTACAGAGACTGTAAGAGCAAAGGAGAAACACAGAGTTGCACACGCTGC